TCGGCAGAGGGTCCCACGGTGTTGGTGCAGCGTCGTGCCGGGGTCGGGCTAGCAGCCTTGCGGGCGGTCCTGCCGTCCCGAGAGCAGTGTGCCCCCCTGCCCCGCTCTCTCCTCCGGGGTTTGACGTGGCAGCGCACAGTGCTTGCGCTCCCAGTGCCAGCGACCTCCCTGCGTGGTCCACCGAACCCTGTCTGTTAGTAGTATCTCGCTGCCTGGCATCTGTCTGTGGGTGCTTTGCCGTCTGGGAACTAAATAGCTTCGGAAATAAAGCTTTGCTCAACTCGTAGTCCCGAGCATCCTGTTCGCATCTCTCCCTGAGAGCCGATCTGGTGGGTGTAAGTCCCTTTCCAGCTGCCAAACTCATAGACATTGCTCAGCAGGTTCTAGTGACTCCCTTCCCAGCTAATTTGGCAACTGTTTTCTTACATGGAGATGCAGACGGTACTGACAGAGCGTGAGGCACTGGCCTCTTGCAGCAGGAAAAAACACCATTGGTAGTAAGTGGGTGCGTTGGTTAATTCAGACAGTCAGCACCGCACTGAAGGACTGCCACTGTCGGGAGCGTTACCCGTTACCTTGCCCCGGAGTCGATTGCTTGGCCCCATTCAGTGAGCTTTCTGTAAAACACAGAAGAGCCTGCACTGGGACGGAGCAATTCCTCCACAAGACAGGGCTGTGACTCTTGGCAAGAAGGGAAAACAGCACTTTGCTACTGTTAGATCTTCTCCATGGGCAGGATTGTCCCCTGAAGCCACAGTTTAGTTTTTGTTTCTTTCAACTGGAGGCTGGACAGCCCCCTGTGGTTTCAGCACAGCTTCCTGTCCCTGGCTGCCCTGTGTGGCCCAGCAAGTCTAGGCTTGTTGCTCTTCTAGTCTCAGCTGCCTTGAAAGAGACCCACCCCCTTATTTGGACAACAGTGTAGTAGGTTAATGTGTTTTTGTTAATACTGGAAAGCTGGTAGATGGTAAGAGAGGAAAACCTTCCACAAGTACCCTTTTCTCACTGCATAGCTCTGCTGCCCAAGAGCTGAGCTGACAATTCAGAACTTCCCTCTGTTGGCCTTTTGCCACCATAAGCACAGCTGGGGTTAGGAGCTGAGCTAGAAGGCAAGGAGAGGGCTGTTGCCTCTCCTGATGTGCAAATTGGTGTCCAGAGGAAAAGGAAGTGCTCAGTGTTGGCAGCCCTATTTAGTCTGCCAGAGTACTTGGCTTCCTGCAGGCTCCAGCTCTTTCTCAGTGGTCCTTAGACTGAATCAGTGGGAAAATTACTTCAATATTAGCTATATGTTCTCTTTGGAATGCTGGAGCTTGTTGTGGTTGGAGTGAGCTTGATGAGTACCTGGGCCTTTCTGTGACAACCCAGTCAGGCTCCAGCCCTTGCTGGGAAAGTTCTTGTTCTTCATTGTGTACAGACAGTCCTGATCAGGTCTGCTTCTCCACAACTGCCAGACCAGTGACCAGCTTGCTCTACTGCAAAGTCAGTAGCTTGCTTTGTTATGTCTGTAGTCCTTCTCTCTTGCAGAAAGAAGATATGCAAGGATATAGAAAGGAGTAAATGAAAAGCTAATTGAGTGAGGAAGGGTATCAGTGTGCAAGAGAGGAGGCCGCAACTTTTGTTCCCAGTCCCCTGTTTCTGTGCACATTGGGTGGTTGGAAGCTGCTGGATAGGGTGGGAGTGGGATGGGGTGTGTGGCATTGTGGGTTGCGGATGGGTGAGGTGGGAGACTTCTAATCATCTGCTGTGCCTTTTTGAAACTGGAACTCTCTGTGACTGTTAGACTGGCCCTATTCTTTACTGGCAGTAAAAAAAATCCCCCCAAAACAGTCTATTTTTGTCCTCTGGTTTTCATGATGTGGGATGCAAGCAGCAGAAACAAGCCTGAAGTAAGTTCCAGTTGAGTGTAGGAATGAATGGCAGAAGGCTGTGACCTAACACAGTACATTTCTGCCACTTTCCCTCTCTCTGAAATCATCAGCACAAGCTGCAGAGTATCTGGGCAGCTGATGCCTCTAGAAGTCCCTGCTGCTACAGCATCTAACCTTTCTGTCTTGTTTCGTTCTCTGGCCAGGCAGAAGATGGGAACATCGAGTACAAGGTGAGCCTCTTCAGGTTGCAGAAGGAGGTCCTCCTCCCAGAGGGTTATTTTGCAGTGAGTAACTTCACAAAGACAGCATATGGGGAACATGTCCAAGGAAAGGACAGAGAAGTGGACACTGTACTAAGGAACTATCAGTCATCTTCTGTGACTCTGTGCCTAGCAATACCCAGTATGCTGAGCTGGGAGAGTCTGATCTCAGTGCTCATTTTTAGGAATCTGTTTTAGGAGATGAGACCCACTGTGTTTTTCCTGAAATCTTCCCTTTGCGAGAACTGCAAGTGTCCCTGATAATCATTTGTCACTTTCTTGTGGCTGTTTGGCCATTTGCACTTACTTGGCTCCTGTGTCACAGATAGGTCCCACAGTGCTGTCTTTACCCCCACAGCAGGCAGGGTACAGATCCCTTTGGCAAGATGCAGGAACATTCTTCTACCATATGTACACACCTTTGTGAAGCCCTTTCTCGCCTCTCCTGTGGCATCTGTACAGAAACTAACATGGGCTGTGTTTTCTATAGGTGGGTCAGAGTTGGAGGCATTGCTTCATGGTGTTGGGTTAGGGAGTTGCTGGCTTGGGCAATGGGATTCCCTCTGCATCCAGGCTGTGACTATAATTACCCCCCTCCATTAAACAGCTAAAGCTAGTGAATCCCTCGCAATATCGCTTTGAGCACCTGGTGACACAGATGAAGTGGCGACTACAGGAGGGCCGAGGTGAGGCCGTCTATCAGATCGGCGTGGAGGACAATGGGCTGCTGGTGGGCCTCTCAGAGGAGGAGATGCGTGCCTCGCTCAAGACACTGCGCCGTATGGCAGAGAAGTATGTGTTCCCTTTCATCTGCAGGATCTGCAGGCATAAGCAGCCTCGAGAGGCTCGGCCTCAGGAGTCCCCTGAGGAGCCGGTGGCTCCCTTCTACAAAGCCCCTATATGACCAAAATTCCTTCATCACAAGGCTCTGGAAATATGAAGGCAGTTATAAGGCTTTTGGCTGGAAGCTTGAGGCTCCTTCCCTGCTATCCCCAGCTTTCATCCCATTCGCTTTGCCAGCTGTGATTCTAGAGGTGCTAGAGCTGCCGAGTAGAAGTGTATCTCACTCCTTCCTTTCATGTGTGTGGCAGGGTTGGGGCTGACATTACAGTGCTGCGGGAGAGGGAGGTCGATTACGACAGCGACGTTCCAAGGAAGATAACGGAGGTGCTTGTCCGAAAGGTGCCTGACAACCAGCAGGTAGGGACCTGCAACTTGGCCATCCTCTCCTGCTGGAGACTTAGAGGCTTCATACAAGCAGCTTCCTTTTGGGATAGGAGCCCAAACCCTAGAAGGGCTTTGTCATAGATTGGCCCATAGTAGATGCTTTAAAGAGCTGCTTTAAAGAGCTGCCAGAGGGAGGCTTGATGATAACAATTTTCATCTCCAAGACTGTGGTTGAGGCAGATACCAGTAGGGGAGACTCACCTCTGATCCAGGCAGAAATTGTTTCACTTCTACAGCAACAGTTCAGATGCAGGTCAGTGTGTAAACAAGGAAGCATTCAGAAGTCCTGCTGCAGCAAATGGCCTTTTTTGTGATATCCAAGCCTCATGTGTCACACCACAACTCTAGAAAGTCTATCACAACTCCTGGGCAGGGGTTTGCTAGGAGCAAGAGTAGAATCTGAGCAAGATTTCACTTCACAGTGTCCATCATGGAGGGAAGCTCTCTGAGGCACATCTCCACTGCCTTATAGTGTTCATTCACACCCGGCACAGCAGTGGTTAAGTTTCATGATTTCTCTCTTCTTCTTCCTGTAGTTCTTAGATCTGCGAGTAGCTGTGTTGGGAAATGTGGACTCAGGGAAGTCAACCCTGTTGGGCGTCCTAACACAAGGAGAGCTGGACAATGGGCGGGGCAGAGCACGCCTCAACCTCTTCCGGCATCTCCATGAAATCCAGTCAGGAAGAACGTCGAGCATCAGCTTTGAGATCCTTGGCTTCAACAGCAAAGGAGAGGTGAGGGAGTGGGCTGCTGAACTCAGAAAACTGGAAGAGAATAGGACTACCCTGCTGTTACAACTGTGAGTGGGACATGAGGGAAGAGAGGTAGCACAGCTCTGTGTCCCTTTAGCTGAACCTGAGTGCTACTTGTCCATTTGCAACAGACATCATTTCTTGCATGTATGGTGAATGATCTCTCCTCACTAATTCTGAGGTCAATGTGGATAGATAAGAGCTGGGTTTTCTTCACTTGCCTGCTGGGGCTCCTTCTCTCACTGAGTTGTTATATTCCTCAGGTGGTAAATTACAGTGACTCCCGAACAGCAGAAGAGATCTGTGAGAGTTCTTCCAAAATGATCACTTTCATTGACCTGGCTGGCCACCACAAGTATCTGAAAACAACAATCTTTGGCCTCACCAGCTACTGCCCGGACTTTGCTATGCTGGTGGTTAGTGCCAACACCGGCATTGGTGAGTGTTGCCCTGCCTGCATGGATTGACAGCAACACATGAAGAGAAATGGAGAATGGGGAGAGTGGGTCCTTGTTAGATGGGAACAGTTGTCAGAAAAAAAGCCTCTACTGATTTCTTGTAAGCCAGTGCCTATGAGTGCCTGGGAGGGAAGGCAGAGCTGAGATCCTCTTACCAGCTGTAGGCCACATTAAACTGTACTCTGGACAGAGGGGGTTTGTTTGGAATTTGAGGCTGTGTTTGCCAGAAAAAAAAAAACAACTTTGACATATTCTTAGGGGTGCTGAATCCTGAGGCCTTGTAAACAGGCTGTTTTCTGGCAAACTCTAGCCCAAGAATGAAAACTACCACATCTTTCTGAAGCAAACAGATCAGTCACAAAAATTCTTGGTGGCTTTTATTTTTCTGGACTGATGTTTGGTTTTGTTTAAAAGAATAATTTTGCTTTTTCATTGCCTGAAGAACTAAGCAGTTAGAGTGAAATCTCTAGAGCGGGCTTATGGGAGAGCCAGGAGACAGCTGTCGCATAAATAAGCAACAGTGATGACTGCTACTGCACCTACACTCTCACTTGTCTCCTGCAGCAGGCACAACGCGAGAGCACTTGGGCTTGGCCATGGCTCTCAAGGTCCCCTTCTTCATTGTCATCAGCAAAGTTGACTTGTGTTCGAAAGCCACCGTGGAACGGACAGTGAAGCAGCTGGAGCGAATCCTGAAGCAGCCAGGCTGCAACAAGCTCCCCCTGCTTGTGAACTCAGATGACGATGCTGTTACAGCAGCACAGCAGTTTGCACAGTCTCCCAAGTAAGGGGCCATTCCTTTCTTCTGCTGGGAGGATGCAATTCAGACTGGGCTGCTGTGTGGAGCTGGGGAAGGGCAACCACATGGGAGGCGACCTCATCTTGCACATCTTGGCTCCTCATCAAGTTTCCTACCTTTGCATTCTCCAAGAAGGCATTTTCCCCTCCCAGGCCTTTTTTCTGGTCTCTGTGAGCAGAAGGTGCCTGAGGCTGCACTGAAGTTGCTTCTCCATGACAGAAGTGTGGGTTGGCAGGGGATTGGTGCCTCAACCAACCACTGAGGCAGGGGTTACTGCAGCAGTGTACCTATCCCATGTGCCCTCCTGCTTTATCATTTATCATTGTAGTCTCTATCTTCTTGCTGAACTTGGTAGATTCAGAATCCCAGACACCACCTGCAGCTGCACTCTGGCCTTCTGCTTATTCCTGTCTATTTCTGCCTGACAGCATCACCCCAATCTTCACGCTGTCCAGTGTTTCTGGGGAGAACCTGGATCTCTTAAAAGTCTTCCTCAACATCCTCCCTCCACTGACCAACAGTAAAGAGCAGGAAGAACTAATGCAGCAACTCACAGAATTTCAGGTGCGTTAAGAGTAGTTTGTATCCAGTTCTGGTGCTGCACTCATTGCTGTGACATGTGACAAACATCTCGGGCACTGGATACCATGGGGAGAGACATGGTAAGCTCCTGGACTATTGGGATACATTAAAGTAAAGAATGGACTCTGTCTTTGAAAAAAAGTCTGTTAGGCTGGGCTCTGTCCTAACCAAGGGATGCCCATCTCAGGGATAAGATTGTTTCTCTGGTTGCCACTTAAAAGGCAGAGGTTCCTCTAACAGGAAGGTAGTGGGAGGTGGTGTAAGCTCCAAGATGGTGTCTGATGACCAGCAGAGAGCTCACCTCCCTCCACACAAGGGGCAGGCACCTTGTTCTCATTCTACAGTGCTATTTTACAGCTGTCTGAGCAGCTCATTCTTGTTGCCTTGCTGCAGGTCGACGAAATTTATACTGTGCCAGAGGTGGGGACTGTTGTGGGAGGAACTCTGTCGAGGTAAGTGAGGCCAGGCAGACAAGTGTGGGTGTGAATGGTGGCTGGAGTTTCCACAAGGTTAGAGTCATCTGCAGATGGTGGAAACAGTGCAAGGCTCAGTCCTGACTCTGCCAGATGACTGAGCCAAGTGAGGGTAAAGCCCTACAGGGTACTGCGAGGTGCCATGAGCAGACCATCGGTCATGTGGTGGCAAGCAGAGAGTCTGCTCTAAAGTTGCTGGATGAGGAATGTGACCTGTAGCGTGCTGGAACCCAGAGTTGGCAGAGGTTAGCCATGATCGCAAGGCATTGCTTTCCTCCTTCCTCAAGCAGGGGCAGGAAATACAGAGGACAAGTCCTCCAGTCCCAGCAGAGGTTAACCGCATGCTACGCCATGAGAAGGCAGCTGTCCCTCAGTGTTTGGGAGTGATCAGAGCAGTTTGGCTATCAACGCTTCCACACAGAACAGGCGTCAACTGCAGTCTCTCCAGCAGAAACAATGCAGTGTGGCAGAGCACTGGGGACAGGATGGCCTCTGTCTGTACCTGGTATTCTTAGGAGTGATAGTGTGGCTTTTGCTCCTACTGCAGGAAATCCCCATTCCCCCCAGCTTTTGCATACCTGTTAGTTGGTCCCAGATAAGAGTCCAAAGACACTCACCTTCTTGGCCCTGGGGAGTTTGTGCAGGTTGATCTTGCAGGGTGAAATTTCTTCCTTGTCTCCTGATGAGCTATGTCCTGCTCTTCTGCCCTGGGCAGTGGGATCTGCCGAGAAGGGGAGAACCTAGTGGTTGGTCCCACTGATGATGGGAAGTTCCTCCGGCTGAAAGTATGCAGTATCCAACGCAACCGCTCTGCCTGCCGCGTGCTGCGGGCTGGGCAGGCAGCCACGCTGGCCCTCGGACCCTTCGACCGCTCTCTGCTGCGCAAGGTGAGTCCTGCTGTTGCCAGGTTGCTCACTGGTCCAGTGAGCAGGACTGGAGGCTTCCCTGGAGATCTCCCATTGGTAGGGTGGAATGAAGTAGAGATGATTGCAGGAAACTTGCTGGAAGGGAGCAGGTATGAGTAGGACGAGTACAAGGCTGAGAATAGGATGCAAGCCCAAGTCACAGAGGAGATGTGTTTGTGGTTTTGGGGGCTGTGCAGAAGCAAGGGGACTGGCCCTAACTGGTCTGAGCTTTTGGGTTGTTGTGCAGGGCATGGTCATGGTGAGCCCAGAAATGAATCCCACCATCTGCTCAGTGTTTGAAGCCGAGATTGTACTGTTGTTCCATGCCACGACTTTCCGGAAGGGGTTTCAGGTGACGGTGCACGTGGGGAATGTGCGACAGACTGCTATCGTAGAGAAGATCCACGGAAAGGTAGGCATGAGAGGAAAGGGGAACATGATGGAACTCTCTGTGGGGTTTGTTGGGATTCCACCATGCCCTCTAGTAAAGCTAGGGGCTACTGGTACCTTGAGCAGCTGAGTCCCTTCCTAGGAGCACACTCCATCCCTTTATCCTTCCTATTTGGTTGCTTTTCCTCCCAACAAGTTAAAGAATTCCCTCCTCACAAAACAAGCAGCATGATGGACTACAGCAAGACTTTGAAGGGACGTGAACTCTCCATTTTCCAATGCTTGCGTCCTCCTGTCTCCCCTTATGCATACTATGCATACAATAATGGGAAGGGCTCAAGTCATGCAGTCTGAGGGAGGCAACCTGCTCATTTGCCTCATCTTCTTAGCATCCACATGCACGTCTCCTGCATGCATTGGTATGGCAGGTGGGTCTAAGCTCTCCCCTTTTTACTTTTCAGGACAAGCTGCGGACAGGAGAGAAGGCAGTCGTCCGTTTCAGGTTCATCAAGCATCCTGAATACTTGAAGATCGGAGCCAAGCTGCTTTTCCGTGAAGGAGTCACCAAAGGCATTGGGCATGTCACTGACCTCCAAGCCATCACCACCAAAGAAAATGGCCTGGAGGAGTCTCTGGGGCCTGGACAGCTGAGCTTCTGACTACCACTAGGTCAGAGAGATCTCTACTCACCAACACCTGGGGAGAAGGATGGAAGCTCCCGTGGCACTCTGAGTGATGCCTGGAGCTGCTGCTGTCCCGTTCTAGCATGGGTGCCCCTCCTTTGCACTGTGAGATGGAGCCTGGGAGAGTTTCTTGCATTCAGTACCGTACATGGGGCAAGTTAAGCATGTTCTCCACATCTCCTGCAGCTTTTGTTATCCTGCCCTCCTTCAGAATAGATCAGAGGCACCTGCAAACTTGGGCAGGCAAGCTCTGGCTTTGTTTACTGTTTGAAAATTACTGGTTGGGAGGAGCAGGACCCTTGTAGACTAGCAGTGAAGGGATGTTTTTCCATCTCTGACACAAGATCTGGTCCCATTTCTGCTCTCTGAGAACTGGGTTGATAACAATCCTCTCTTGAGCCATCCTGCAGCACATCCTTCTGGGCAGGGGATGGAAGAGGCCCTGCTACGCACAGCAGAGCTTGGTTGAACCTCTCAGAATGCATTCAGGACACTTTTTAACTGTTTTAATCTTGGTTGGCTTTAATCTGCTGTGTGTCCATTTGTGTGTTGGTTTTGCATTACTCCAATCTGAGTGTCTTACTGTTGGACAAATGTCCTGTTCCCCACTCACACGTACACACTCCTTCAGCATCCCGCTTTCTGACTCCTGGGAAGCTGTGGCTGCTCTGAGTGGCACAGCCTCCTGACGTAACGGCACGAAGGCAGAGTTTGTACTTGCAGCAGCTGGGCAGGAGGCCGTTCTGTGGAGCAGAGCACGGCCTGGGCCTGTGCTGGCATGTGCAGGTTGTTTCCATGGATGTTCAGCTGCAGGTGTCACCTGCTTGTCGACAGCAGTGGTTTGCAGGGGGCTCCCTGGTGTGGCTATTCCAGGGCCCAGCCCAGCTTGCTCCTCACATGCTTGCCTTAATGTGTGAGGAGGACAGACTGTGTTACTAAGACAGAACCAGGTGACTTCTATTGTTTAGATGTGATGTGACAGTGGCGTGATTTTATTTCTGTTTCTCCTTGTGAAAGACTTCTTTTCTTTCCCTTGCCACTGGGGTTTGTTGTCAGAGGAAAGCTGGTGTTGCCAGCAAGGACTCTGTGCACAAAAAGTGGAGCACGTTTGTCTCCTGCTCGCCGTCGTGCAGCTCCCCTGTGTGACCGTTACTGCAGGCCATTCATAGCCTGGAGGGTGCACCAGGGGCTGTATAGCTGTACATAGGCTTTTGGGTTTATTGTTGACTGTTAGACCAAATCTGTCAGCTGTGAGCAACAGGCCTTCAGCCAGCCCTGTTGCGTGGCATGGTGGCCTGCCAGCCCTGACTGAAGAGAAGGGCGAGGGCCTGCAATAGCACTTGGACACCAAAACAGCCCTTCTACCATCTTGAAAGCAGGTTCTGCTTCTGGACTGCTGGCACAGGCAGTGCCTGCGGAGCTGAGCAGTCTGTGCTAATGTGTGGATGTTGCAAAGCAGCGCTCTCCGCTGGGCTAGGATCTAGTGGGTGGGGAGATGGTGGCTGCACCCTGCAAAGAGCATGCTGAGGCATGGGGAAGCCAGGGAAATGGTGGTATATATGAAGGGACTTAGAAGCAGCTCAGTAGTGACAGGAGTGACCTGTCCCTTGGGAGAGCAGTGACCCAGCTGAAAATCTGCTTCTTCCCCATCAGCCCAGCAGTGAGACAGGAGCTGCTGGCTGAGGGTCACTGCTCAAGCAGGATCCCTCTTTCTTCCCATCCTGGCAGTGGCCTGGGTGTTACGGTGATGTGGGCTTTCACCCGTGCCTGCAAGAAGGACAGGCCCCAGCTGCCAGCAGGCTCTTCCCTTTGGTGCTAGTGGGTCACAAAGAAAGCTGCCTGAGGGGTGGGGGGACTCCAGCTGTTTGCAGCAGCCCTGGTGTTTTCTGCCCCAAAGCAGGCATGGGGTGCTGTGGCCTCCTCTGACATAGCTGATGGGTTGTCTCACCTCATCCTTGCCATCTGTGGCATGACTGTTCTTGGTGCCATGCTCCTCATAATTGCTGTTTTGTTGTCTTGAATTTTTCTAATGCTGGGGTTTGTCCCTGTTCCCCAAGCATCTATATATAAATGTACAGAATAAAGATGTTTTATTGAGCTTGCCGTCTGAATTGTACAATGAGTGAAGGTGGAGCTGGGCTTTTGCCTTGCTGCCCTTGGAGCTGGGTCACTGTTGGAGGTGGCTGCCCTTCACCCCTTCCTAAGCTTCCTGCATTCAGCCCCATAAATACTGTCCTGTGGTATGGAAGGAATGCACGCGTGCTGCTGTTTACAACTGTGCTCTCCCGGCTTATCTGAGTAAGCCTGGGTGTGCAGCCTGGGGTGACAGGCAGCCACGTCACCCTGAGCACAGCACTTCAGGCTGTTGTGGGCGGAACAGGCTGTGGCGGGTGCTTCCTCGCAGCCACAAATTCCCCTGGAGCCTAATTAAAGGGATGCTTTCTAGGGCACACATCTAACCGGTGGTTTGGTTTTAAAATAGCTTCGACCTTATCAAGGGGTTTGCGACTGCCTTCTCTCTGTGAGAACAGGTTGTTCCCTTGGGACAAGCAGAGACAGAAAGGCTTCCCTGTGGAGGTGACATGTCACTGAAGGGATTTGCCTGTTCTCAGCTTAGTTTTGCCAGGTAGTGGTGTCTGCAGAGTCCGGTCCTGCCACTTAGGAAATGAGACATGTCGCTGTCACAGCAGCGTGAGGCAACCCTGCCAGACTGGTTGATGTTTCTCTTTATGTGAGGACTTTGGGAAACTTGTCCCTTTGCAATGTGAGGACTGTCATTAATGGGAGTGACTCTGTAATTCTTTGCTGATTACCAGCAGAGCTGCACGCACCAGAATGAGCTGCTTGTGCTTCCTGAAATCTCACAACTGTGTCGTCAAGTATTAGACCCCAACGGCCAGCAATGTAGCACCTTCCCAATACAGGCTGTCTGTTGGAAGAAGAGCAGCTCAATGGCTCCAAGTAGTTCAGAAAAGGGGAAACAGCACACGCAAATACAGCTGTACTTTGCATCATTATCTGCTGCCTGAAAGGCGCTCTCTGCCTGTTCAGGGCCGGGAAGTCTGCAGCTGATGAAACTCTCTGCAAAGTGTGTTTCCAAACCCCACCCAGTGCTGCCTTGACGTGGCACGTTCCTTCCCCCGCCCTAGGAGCTGAGTTCAAATTATGGGCAGTAGCACCTCTGGAGGAGGCTGGCGGGCTCCGGGCAGCTAGTGGTGTAGCACGGAGCTGAGCCTGTCAAGCTCATCTCTTGCCCTGGAGCTGGTCTTGCTCTCAGTGCCTGCTTGTCCCTCCGTGATATTCTGCTTTGTTGGCTCTGTTATCATTTGTGGAGCACTGGGGCAGCCGCTCTGATGTGAACTGTGGCCTAGAGAACTGAACAAGTCATTTGGCAGAGCATGATCAAAAGAGGTAACTATCATCAAGTTGTATGTATTATCACCCAGAGTCTGGGAAGGAGGAAAAATGTGGTTATACCCTCTTTCTGTGATGGAGAAAAGCATTCACAGAGGGCTGTGTGACTCTGGTGTGTTTCCCATCCCTTCTGTGAGAACTCTAGCAGTAGACTGTTCACATGTCAATAACAATTATCAGGAAGTGGTGCTGAGATTTCAAAAAGCCCAACAAAAAGTTTGCCCATGTAGCTCTAGCTTCCTCAAATCTTATTTGACGGAACAGTCTGTCTTGCGCGCTCCAGAGATGGTGATAAGCGTCAAGCAATGGAATGCTACACAGAGGGAACTGCCAAACCACCTGTAACAAAAAGCCTGAGAGGGGTGGTAATAAAAATCAGTGTCTTCCAGGTGGAGAGGGTAGAAGGAACCACAGGGCTAAGTTACCATATCTGTTATAAAGTAAGGGCAAGTCTGCAACTGCAGCCAGAGGAGAACCACCATGAGGTGAAGGCTTTATACTGACAGGAGTGGGGTTCAAGCCTAGGCTTGGCTGGAGAGTCCCTGGGCTAAGCCACTGTGCTTACAGTGCCTGCTTTTACAGTAGGAACAGAAAGCTGTGGGAACAGACTGAGCAGTGCTACTATGGAAATACAGGAGGTGTAGGTGAGAGTATGATGAAGTTTTCAGTAGGACCAAGCAGGCAGAGGCAAGCTAGCTGCTACCAATTAAACTGAGTACATCCAGCATCATAAGAAATTCATGAGTTCCAGTCCCTCTTAGACTTGGGGCAGAGATAATTTATTAGACTTTTCTGCATTAAAACCTGACAGTATAAAAATGTTTAACTGCATTTAAAAACACTGATTATTTAAAAACACTGATTATCTAGAAACTCCCAGTGTGGCTAGGAGTTAAGGAGGTAAGCGCTTAAAGAAAAAATCTAAAGTTCTTGTCACGCCTTCTCTGGGTCGTTTTGCACTAGATCCCGCTGGAGTCTTGGGCTTGTTCTTTGCCTTGGCAGGAGACTTGGAAGCTGCAGCCTTTGGGCTGGGAGCTGCTGCTGGAGCAGTGGGAGCACTGGGCTCCAAGAAGGAGCTTTGCAGCTCCAGAGCAAAGTGGTAGTCCATGTGCTCTGGGAACTCCCACACCAGCACGAGCTGGTCACACTTCTCACAGCGCTGCTGATCCCCCGGCGAGGCTGGAGGGAGCAGGGCAAGCTCAGGAGAGGGTGGCAAATTCTGTTCATTTCCCTCCGTAGCTGGCTCTAATTTCAGAAGGGTCCTGGAGCTGGGTGGAGTCGAGGGTGTTTGTGTAGCATCAGAGAGCAACTTCTTGCAGGGAAGACTCTCATACTGAGAGGTGGGACTCCCATCTCTGGGACTCCACTTCACAGGGGACTCCAGGTCACATTGCACAGAGGCAAGTCCAATGCCATCTCTCTCCTGGTGCTCTGGGGAGCTGGGCAGAGGTGACGCTGCAGTGGTAGCAGCAGGCAGGCTGGTGGCTGTCACTGTTTGTGACTGTTGCCTTTCTGTCGCCTTTTGGAAGAAGGATTCAATAGCGTTGGCTGGCTTCTGCCTGTGCTCTTTGCTTGGGCTCCTGAAGAACTTGACCCTGGGCCTTGTAGAAGTGGCTGCGGCAGTACCATCAGACTGGGTATTGCTCGTCAGGAAGGTGGCAATGCCTGCAGAGAGGAGTGTGGCAGGCTCTGAGAATTTGTTTGCCGAGAGAAGCACCGATATGAGTGGTGGTGACCTGTGAAGAACAGACCAACATCAGCTCAGACACCAGCCTGGGAAGCAAGAAGTCTTTTGAGGTAAGACTTTAAGCAACATAAATTGTTCACAGGCAGGGGATAGGGGAACTGCAGTCTGGGTATCCAGCAAGGAGGGGGAGAGATGTTTCCTCTGACAAAACATTAGTATTGCTACTTCCAGAAGAGTCTCACAGACACAGCAGGCTGCGTTGAGCTGAGGAGAAAGCCTCTTCCCAGAACAGCATTTCCCAAAGGGAAGGGCACTGGAGCAGGGACAGCTGGTCGCCAGCCTGGACTTTAGGTCCACCACAAGCCGGAGCTGCTGTGAGACTCCCAGGCAAGGTGAAGGCCTTGAGAGTTGCAGCCTTGTTGGAGCCTAACAGGCAGGACCTTCTTGCCTTACCTACACCTCAGCCTTCACTGCAGAGCAGGAGGAAGGGAAGAAGTAATGTTGAATACAGGAGCTGCACACCTTAGTTTTCCTTCCTGCCCCCCCCCCCAAGCACCTTTGTCCTTAGGGAAGGAAAGCAAGGCCTAACTAGCTTCTCCAGCCCAGCAGGGCAAGGACTAACTCACTCCAGCTGGACACCCCCCTGCTGATAGCAATCAGCTCCAAGTACGGAAGCGTCTTGCCAGATGTGGGGCTTGGAAGAGGCCAGGCTCTCACAGCTGTCCTACCGCTAACAAGTGGAGGTCGCTGCACGTGTGCTGGGGACCACTTTTCCTGACAGCTGGCATAACACTCATTCCTTTCTGTCAGGTCCCTGGCTCATCCTGCACCTCCCGCAGCAGAAAAACCCCTGACAGGGACACAAACCGCTGCCTCCTCCACTCACCAGGCCGCCTGGTGAGCCCCAGCCATGTTGCAGTTTTGGATGAGGGCAAAGGCATCGTTGCACATCTTCTGGGCATCGTAGCGGGACAGAGCGCAAAAGCGCGACACTCGGGTGTCTCCCTGCATGCGGATGACCACCATCAGCTGCTTGGCCACTCGGTGGTTCTGCAGAGAGAAGAAGGAGCCGTGTTTCAAGCGACCCCTGCAGGAAAGAGCAGGAAAGGCCGAGGGGGTCATCTCGCTGCCCAGAACCCTGTACCATCAGCTACCACCTCCGGATGATGCTGTGTGACAGATGGCAGCTTGTCCTGCCTGGCCTGATCTCCAAGGGATGAGATACAGGACAGCAAGTGCTCGTACAGCTGCACCACACAGGATGGGAAGCAGTCAGTCCTTGCTCTACTTCAAAGGCAGCTGTGCACCATTTCTTGCCCCTGCTGCAGCAATGAAGCTAGCAGATTAATCTCACCCTCGCCTACAGTCTACCATCCGGATTTGAGCGTATCGCTTCCTCTCGCAGCTCACAGCACAGGCAGAGCTGCAAGGGAGCAGCAGTGTGGCAGGATGAAGGTGTGGTGGCTTTCAGGTCCCTGCATCCTAAAGCATGGGACAAGGACTGTCCCTGGCCCTGCAGGGTTCTGGAGCAAAACCATCCTTCCTAGCCAGGCTCCTGCACACCTCTTTGCTTGGGGCACCACAGCACACAGGCACGCATCTGAGGGCGAGCAGATTTCCTCCCTCACCACACACCACCCTCAGCCTCCTGCAAACAGCTCAGGGTGCAAACGTTCTGCATGGCTTCCTGAAGGCCAGCGGGGAGAACGCCATTCCCTGTGCCTCCTCTCCTTACCTGGCTCCTGTCCTTGATCAGTCTGGATTCCAGCTCCAAGGCCAGCTGCAGGAGCCAGTGTTGTACCTGGACAAAATAGTGGTAACAGACAGGTTGGGCCTCTGCTCACAGTGCTGCCACCAGCCCAGAGCAACACTCCGCACACCGGGGAATGCTGGAGGGGGATCAGACTGGAATGGACACAGACTATCACAAGGCCCCATATCTGGAGTACTCTTGGAGAAATCCACCCAGGTGAGGATTCATCGCCAGACACAAGGCATTGTAGATACCATAAAAGTCCTGCAGTGTTACTACTAGACTTTGCCAAGTAACCTGGGTCCCCTCCCCTGGATCTCTCTTTGTGTCTCCCTACAGCTCTGTGGGAACCTCTCCCCAGCTAACAGGTAAGGTGCAGCCTCCCTCCTCCTTTGGGCTAGTTACCTCCTTTCTAGCAACCATGGCCCTGGCGCTTGGCACTGTGAATACCTTTTGAACAGCACAGGCCCACAGTTCTCCTTGTGGCAATTACAACTGGGTTGGACCTCTCTGTGCAGTTTGTCGATGCATTTCTGTCAAACACGGATTTCCCTAATTTCTGGGGCCCAAACCACCACCTCCCACTGAGCCCCTAGTCTTGAGTTTCAGGGCATGATGACACAGAAAAGCAGCGGTTTGGCAAGCAAGTCTCAGCTTTTAGCATTCTCATCTTCTCCAGTGCAAAGGCCAACCCTCTTCTAGGTGTAAGCTGCTTCTACCTCCTTCTGTGTGGCCAGGGCTGTCCTCCCAGGGAAGTTCTTGCTGCAGCCAATAGACTGAGGCAGGTACCGATTTTTGACAGGTTCATCTTCAATTCCTCTGCACAAGTCATAGAGCCAGGACCTGAAAGCCACAGAGGAAGCATGAAGGCAGCCACAGATACACAGGCATTGCTGGGCGGCAAGTCAGCCTTCTGCTGAGCCATGCTTTCAGTTCTGTGCAAGCTGCACCTCTGCCTCTCATCCCCAGCTCTGCAGCTGCGGCCACAGCTGAACAAGCAGACTTCCTTCAGGCCACAACTGCCAGACAGCGCAACTCCTCTGCCTCTTCTCCTTAAGTGGCAACAGTTCACCATCTGCAGGGCACCCCAACTGCTGCTCTGGGCCCAGAAGTGTTGTTTCAGGCTCCAGTCCAGCCTTGTAATTTCCTCTGTAATGAGACTGTCAAGCCTGCCTGCTTCCTAGCCTGCAGGGAGCCCTTCACAGCTTGGCCCCATCCTTAGACATTGTAGAAGAAGGCAGAGGAGTTGGCTGACAGGCAAAACTTATCCTGGGAAGGCTGCCTAGGAGCAAGCGAGCCTGGAAACCTGTTTGTGGGCCTGCCAGACCCATGCTTCTCAAAGACGTCACTCAAGTTTTACCTTCCAACCTTCCTAATCGCAGCAGAACAACCTGTGACCAAAAGGAAGTCTCGGTTCCTGCCAAGAGTCAAGTTGTGGCGAGTGGTTTATCATTACCCGGTTTTGTCTCCAAAGTGAGTCTGGAGCTCTGTCTCGCTGAACTGTGTCAGCTGCCCGATGTACTCTACTCCCAGGATATCTGTGATGGCAGTGCCAAGCTTGCCTCCCAGGTTACGGCTATGGCAGAGAAAGAAAGAAAAAAAGAAAGAAAAAACAAATGAAACAACATGTGGGGACTAGGCCAAGTCTTCTTGCAGCAGGCATCCCTAGATCAGAACAGCCAGAAGCAGTCAGGAACTAGCAGGACAAAAAGGAACACTTAGTACCTAACGCCCCCTTGCCCGCAGTTGCTCCTGGCTTACACCTATGCACCCCAGCAGTCATCTTGAGCACAGCTTTACCCTGTCCACAGGGAAAGGCTGTCCACAGGACACTAGTGGGCTCTTCGAATGTGGTCCCTTCACTGGCAGGGCTGCAGCTCCCAAGCATGCTCCTCCTGAACTGTCGCTCACAGCTATAAGGAATTCCTGGCAGGATTTCCTCTCCATTTCTTACAAGCATTGATGAGCAGTTACTGTGGAGTTGAATGCCTTTGCTGGCCACTATCAATTAGCATTGAATTGCTCTCTGTTGAGGTGGTCAGGAACAGTTTCCTACCCTCAAGTCACTTTAGTTCTGCTCACACAAGCAATGATGACATACCAACAAGCAAGTGCAACAATGAAGACAAGCAGGGCTCTCTTCCTGATAACAACCTGGATTGTGGAAGCACAGCACCAGCATTTCAAATACATGCTCTTGCCACAGAGCAGCTCAGCCTGAGTCCCAGGCTGCATAAAAGCAGGCAGCTCCCCTGTACTCACATATTGCTGATGGGCACTTGGCTGAAGAGCTGTGGGACAAATCGTGAAGATACTAGTGTCTGGCGGTTGGGCTTGTTTAACCCGCAGGCCAGTTTTGCCAGCGTCTGTAACACAGAAGAGGATGGAAACCCTGTTATTACAATCTTTGCACTGACTTTATTGTGACTCTACCTAACCGCTTGTGCTGTATCACCTCTAAGATCTGCCTTTGGAATATCTGCTAGGAAGGATGTTCAGGTCGCACCATTGCTTGCTCCCAGGTAGTGCCCACCTTGGGACTTGGCACACACTGGCTGGGAACACTGAAAGCACTGCTGCTTCCAGACTTCTAGCTCTGCAAAGGCTGGACTCCTGCTCCAGGCAGCTTGGGGCATCTGTATCTATCACCTGTTCTGCTCGGCTTAGTTTTCCATCAGGCAAGCACACTAGAGCTTCCAGAGCATCCCCATACTCCTCCCCAGGCTATTTCTCTCACTATGTCTTGCTCCATCATCTTCTGCGTTTGTCTTGCTTTTTCTCAGTGTCACTATTTTAATCTTCTCTCTGCGAGGTCCACAGCAGCATAGTGCTGCAAAAGGTAATCTGCAAAATACAGAATTGCTAGCCTGGAAGGGATGTTCTCTAGCTTATCTGCTATACAGGTTCCCCTCCCACCCTAATCTACCACAGGATCAAAAATACACAGACCAGCCTGAAATATATTTAGCTGGGTGTTGGGGATTTTTTTTAACAAATTAATAATAATTTTGCTCTTTCACTGCTTTACCACACACACCTATAACTAAGCAATTTATTTTTTCCTGCCTATTAAACTATGATCTTTATTAACAACCTGCTTTACAGGCTTACATATGTTCTCACTCTTACAAAGTAGATCCCTTTCCTTCAACTTTTCATATCCAGTCATTTTCCACATGTCCAATCACTGTTATTCTTGTTTTGCTGGAGACTCTTTCAAGTTTACCCACGCTGTTCATAAAGTATTGCAAGCTGAACCAATCGCTGAGACTTCATGGAGAGAAATAATTTACTTTTTCTGACACCTTCTCTAATCTGCATGTGCTCAAACAGGATTTGCCATTTCTGTAAGAGCTCTCGTATTACTGACTCATCCTGCTGCCTGTCCACAATAATTCCAGGTTACTTTCTGTCTATGACTTAGCCAAAAGCCTGTTGGTTGCTTTTTTCCTATAAACCACAAAACCGCCAGTGAGGAGCATAAGCAGCACTGCTTGGTGATTTCTGACTGTTTCTGGGCTTCTCCAAGCCCAGATTGTTCAGCTCCAATTTCATCTCCCAGAACTCCTACAGCCCAGGCCCTGAGCCCCATCTGTGCTTAGCATCACCTGAATTCCTACAGCTGCTCCCACCCTACAGGCTTCAGTGAAAATACTGGCTCTTAGTGGACCTCACACAGTTCCCCCCAGGCTCCCACTCTAAACATCCCAATTTGAGTGCAACTCACTGAACAAAAATCATTATGGAAAACAGTAAGATTTTCTTCAGCTAGATGCACGCCCTTCAGATAACCTCAGTCATGTTGTGTTTTACTAGGGTGTCATCACCAGCTTACGTGACTCAGGGTGGGGCGCGTTAGAAACCTTAAGGTGCACGCTCCACATCTGCAGTTTCCCCTGTACATTAGGCCACACATGCTGTCAAAGAGGGCACATAAATGAGTCTGGCATGAGTGGTTCTTGATAAAACCATGCTGTTATCTTCCAGGTGCTTCCAAATAGCTCATTCAATTATTTGGTCTCATTTATCAGCTGGGTTCCTGGTGTATTCTACCAAGTTAGCTCACTAGGAAGAAAAGTCCCTCAAGAGAGTTTTCTTTAGGAAAAAAATGAGTTTAAAGCAGGAAACCTCGTTTTAGGCAATGGTGGCTGTAGCCAGAGAATGGTTTTTACTGACACAAATTCCCAGCAGCTTGGAGGAAGAAGAATACCAGTTTGGAGCACTGAGGTAAGTCGAGTTGCTTTTCCTCTTTCTGGTCACACAGTCTTTACCCCCGCTGGCTGCTCTTTGGGTGATGCTCAGCCAGCTGTGAGAGCAGCCGCAGGAGCACTTCGTGCATGACAGCAGCTGCAGAAACAAACAGACTTTGATGCTGCAGCTACAGAGGGTTTCCTGCTGGGTGAAATGCAGGGTGGTTTACTGAGAGCCCCTAGCACTCGTTTCATGCTTTGCAGAAAAGGTTTGTACCTACAGAGGTCAGCTGGCTGTGGAAGCACTGTAGCGTGTTCTGTACAGCCACGTGTAGGCTCTGGTAATTTCTGCACTGTGCTTGCTGATATAGATATACAGTTCTTCAGGGATAGCACAGTACATCATGATTTCCTTACTCCCTTTAAAAAACCAACCAACCAACCAAAAGAGGAATGCTGGCTTAGAAAATGGAAGCTGGGAGAAGCTGCTAGGGATAGCAGGGATGTTCGCTGTTATTCTTGATTAAAGAGAGCAAAAAGGCAAGTTGAACATCCTTTCCACTGGAAATTTCTACACCAGTGGTCTTCCTCAGCTAGCTCATTTCTGCCTTACAGTCTGCTCTAGTTTCAAGGTGAGCTGGTGCAGAACTAGCTCCAGTACCTCTGTACAGCTGGTAATAGTTCCAGTTGTTTCCACAGCAGTCTAAGATGAAATTTATCTTTCTTAAGTTCCAAAGCATCCATTTAGTCTTTATAATTTTCTTGTTTTAGTCAGAGCCTGCATTTTTAAAGTCATCACTGTACACATAAGCCCCTTTTGCAAAGAATGAAACGAGTGCAGGGTGGTTTACTGAGAGCCCCTAGCATTTCACCCAGCAGGAAACCCTCTATAGCTGCAGCATCAAAGTCTGTTTGTTTCTGCAGCTGCTGTCATGCACGAAGTGCTACTGCGGCTGCTCTCAGCAGCTGGCTGAGCATCACTCAAAGAGCAGCCAGCGGGGGTAAAGACTGAGTGACCAGAAAGAGGAAGCCAGAGCCCCAAACTGGTATTCTTCTTCCTCCAAGCTGCTGGGAGTGTCAGTAAAAACCATTCCCTGGCTACAGCCACCTTTGCCTAAAACTCAAGGTGGAGGTTTCCTGCTTTAAGCTCATCTTTTTTCTAAAGAAAACTCTCCTGGGGGACTTAAAACCCTTTTCTTCCTCGTGAGCTAACTCATTAAGGTACACCAGGAATCCAGGCAGTCAATTAATTGAGTGCTGACTGCATAGGCCACATCCCTGGGAAGAAAACTCTTCTCCTTCCCAGATATCCTATAATTTCCCTGAAGGTGTGCTCACACGTGGCTGCGTTCCCCACTGAGCTCATCTTCTATGGGAGACTTGGAAAAACACACAGGAGAGTGTCTACAGCACGTTCTGACTCTGCTACTTAGAAGAGAGCAGGCTGATGTGTTACACACGTACCTTGTTGTGCGAAATCCCAGCTGAACACCTGAATCCAGTGGCTGCTTCTACAGCCACCCTAATTTCTTCCACAATTACTGCACCCATGGTCAGCTGCAGGTCAGGACAATCAGGGTTATCGAAAGACAGTGACGCCAGCCACTCGTGCAAGCCACGTTGCCGCAGCTCCTCTAGAAAAGGGACGCAAAGGGGGTCAGCACGGGTATTTCTTGCTGAGTCCAGCAAAGGGAAAGTAGCACGGCCCAGCCGCAGCAGCCAGCCGCGTGCTTCTGTAACTGCGTGCCAACGGCAAGGACAAGAAGCGAGCACCCCAAAAGTCATTCACTGGGGAAACCACAGATCCTATTTACCGTGCTCTTGCACGGGACAGAGCAGCCCACCCTCTGCCTCTGTTGATGTACGGGGGAGCGTTACCGATGGAGCGGGAGAGGGACAGCGCAGGGGCCCGGGGGTGGCAGCACTGGGCTCCGTTCTCGCTGCGTTGTGCGGCCTCAAAGCAAAGCCGTTAGAGCCGTCCCGCCGCGGTATGCAAAGCGCCGGCCCCGGCGCTCGAAG